GTAAACGTGTAGTTATAATTTTAGCCACCAGGGGCGCCTGGACTTTTTGACCTGGCGAATAGTGTAAGAGTGGTCAGTTTGCGCTAATTTGAACCTCCTCGCGCTATTTATTATTCAAATTCAAAACAATGTGTAAACGTAGCCTAAAACACTGCTGATTTGAACACGATCAACGACTGGAATTCGTTTTTTTTTAAGTTTCATTCAACAGCTCAACTAGCATTCCGTGTGTGCATGAGCTTATTTTGCATGCACTTTTCAGATGATTCACTAGGGCAATATGTTGTTTCAAGCAGGTGATGATCCGAAGGGCCGCATTTTGCTAGATTGTTCTCTTGTTTAGTCGGACCCGCCCATTAGCCAGATGTCCTACGCAGATCAGGCAACAAGTCCGCGAATGTCGCACGCTCAGAACATGCCCGAAGTGTCTTCTGACGCTGGATACTACAGCACTTCGCCGTCCCAGCAACTAGTCTATCCTTCGCCCTCTCCAGGCCTTCAGAACACGTCGCCAAATACTCCAACTAGTTTACCGGAAATTATTCTAACAGGTAATGGGGAATGGGGGCTGGAATCGATCGTCCGCTAGGGACTAACGATGCGATTTGCTTGCAGATTTCTCAGCAGGCCAAGATATTAACAGACAATTAGATAGTGAGTTCTTAACAGACGAACAGCTGAAGGAGGGTTTGGGTGCGCTCGATTTCGCCGAGCTGCAAATGCTGAACAACATTGGCGGAATGCCGGAAATCGTTGAGGACTACAGATCATAACAAAGGTATGTTTGCGGATGATCAAATAGAATCCACACGTAGAAAAACGGATGCTTGGAACGCAGCTGTTTCAGACCGGTTGTTTGGACATCCGTCTGCGACAATGTGCTGCGTTCCAAATTTCAGATGTTTGTTCATTGTTTTCTTCTCATAATGATCTATCAGCTATCACGTTTATTTGGAAGCGCTCGTTTCCTGCTGATAAGTTTTGGATGTTAATTGAAGAGGCTTTAGTTGGTATATCAGGAATCATCGTCTTTAAAAAAGTATTTATCCCGAAACAACGACCATCTGCGACAATGTGCTGCGTTCCAAATTTCAGATGTTTGTTCATTGTTTTCTTCTCATAATGATCTATCAGCTATCACGTTTATTTGGAAGCGCTCGTTTCCTGCTGATAAGTTTTGGATGTTAATTGAAGAGGCTTTAGTTGGTATATCAGGAATCATCGTCTTTAAAAAAGTATTTATCCCGAAACAACG